GTTATATAAGTATATATATAAACATAAATGGAGAAAACCATGAATACATAAATGCAGAAAAACATTATATAAGCAATTTGCCAGTTACATTTTCCATATAAATGTTTAATATAGTAGCTATGTGATTACAGTACTTTGCATTCATCGCACTGAATCACATTGAAAGCGATTTCATGACATTATTTGGCATAAAACATTCACATGAACATTGTACTTGTGTGAAAAATAAAATGAAAAGGATTTAACAAAAAAAAGGAAATTATATATATAAAAATAAAAGCTATTAAAAAAAGTTTAATACTTGTTTTTTTTATATTTTTCAAAATCCAATTTTTATTAACAAATCAAATGTATATTTCTGTAGCTCTTTAGTTTCTGAACATTGCATAAACCACTAAATAAAAGCAACATTGTATGGCGATCATTGCTTATTTGATTTTCAAACCCCAGCTGGTCTTCATCATCGAGTTGAGCAGAGCAGTTCATAGTTTGCAATGTTGTTTGAAAAGCAAGTACCAAATAAAAGAAAAAGAAGAGGAAAATCCAAGCACAAGCATATGGTTATGTTGCTTACATTTTTTAGTTTCGAATCACTATCATTACAATCAGCATAATTATAGCAATCATTCCCACCACCAGTGAAGCAATATTCAGGTTCTTTGCAATCCTGGAGGACTCTTGAGCTCTTCCAGCATCTCCAAGTGAATTAGCATTGTCTACCTACAATAAAATAATATTAATATAATAATAATAAAGTACATAATATTGTGATTTTCATTTATTTATAAGAGCTGTAAATAAAATAAATTGTAAGCGACTTACTCTGCATGAGTAGATGATTGCTGCAATTCCAAGTGGCAAACAGCAACAAAAAGTGTTGAAGATGGACCAGGCAAGATATGTTGGCTCATCCCTGCGGGAAGTATCCATTTTTCCAAGCTCCATCGATTTTGTTTCCAAACAGGTCAAGCTTCAGGTTCAGATTCAGTGCAGGGTGGGTCAAGTCACTGGTTTAAATAGGGTGGGCTGCTGTCAGAGAAAGAGAAGAAAAAAGCCAGAAGAAGGGAGGGGTAACAATTTTTTCCCCTCATTGTACTTACAGATCATATCAGGTTACTTATCAAACTGTGCCTAGAATCCTGAATTGAGTCTGGAACCCTAAAAGTCAGGACTATATCTCTAAGTTTTCAGCTGATAGTATAAATTTCTATATATTTATATAAAGAGAAAGTTCTAATAAAGTTCAAAACTAACTAATCTAAAGGCATTTTCACTCTCCCCATCCAGAGAGCAACTTAACTGTATGAACAACAGCTTACTCAAAGTGAAGTGGATATTTTAGAAAAGCATTCGCTAACCATTACAAAATTATCTTCCATTTCACAATAGTGCAGTTGTTGTGTTTTTTTGTTTTGTTTAAAGTTGTGGCTTATACAGATATTTTGCTCTATGTATGGGGAGAGTGAAAATATCTTCAGACTTGTTAGTTTTAGGGTTTTTAACTCATTTTAGAATACTAGGCAGGGGTGTAGGGTGGATAAAATAGTAGTGAGGTGGGTTGAGATAAAATGTATAAACTGTACTGCATACTCTTTTTTT